GAGGACCACCGCAGTCCGAGGTCCCCGGGCAGGGCCGCGCCCCCACGCCCGGGGCCGTCCGCTCCCCCACACCCCACCCCCAGGCTGCCCGCCCGCCGGGCGGTTACCTCCTCCGAAGCCTGGAAGTCTTCCATCTTCACTCCAGCGCCTCGCTTCCGCCGCCCCGAGCAAAGCGGACTGCGCAGGCGCGCGTAGGCCCCGCCCTCTCCCCGCCCATACGGCCCCGCCCTCGAGCCCGCCCCTCGGCGCCCCGCTGCTCATGGGCGTCAACGCAGCGGTGAGCTGAACCGCGCCTCAGAGCCAACCTCGGCCGCGGGCCCGGACGGGGGCGTGGCCGCGGGCCTGAGGGGAGGCGTGGCCTGCGCGACCCCAAACAACAAACCGCCCGCTGACTGTCGAGGCGTGGCGCGCGCCGCCCGGGGGACTGGGGTTGGGTCCCGGGGGGAAGGGCCCACGCAGGGGCCTCAGCACCGGCCTTCCTCGAAGCATTGCAGTCTAGAAAGCGAGTCGTGCGGGGTGGATGGTTAGGATTATGCTTTATAGAATGCGTGGCCGCGGGCCCGCCGACGCCGGACCGAGCCGCGCCAGGACTTGTCTGCACGTCGGGGCCCGTGCTCCGGCTCCCAGGGCACTTGGATCGGGAGCCTCCCGCTCCCGGCCACCTCTCCACCGCCGGCCTCCGGGACCCGGGGCGGTCGGGCCCAGGGCCGGGGGAGGATGAGCTCCGGCCCGCACGGCCTGAGGCTCCACCGCGGGGCGCTCCCCCCGGGCCACCGGAGCCCTCCCGGGCTGTCCTCTGCCCTGGCCCCGGCCGCGCGCCCAGCGCTGGGTTCCACGACTCGCTCCCGGGCTTGCAAGGCCCTGGCTCAGCATCTCCACTAGGGGCCTGCCCGTCCTCCAGCCTTTCCGCACCGGTGGTTTTCTTTGTGGCGCCCGTTGATGGGGTGTCTTGTCCAGACTCCGCGTTCTGTGCAGGAAGGAACTTTCTCTTCTCTGTTGGGTGCCTGTCCCTGACGCGGGCCGCACACAGTAGGTGCACAGTTAACGTGTATTGTTTGAAGGGATGATTTCTCCAGTGTGGCCTCACCTAGATGGAGAAAACCATGGAGTGGATTACGTGCGCACGCGCGCGCGCACACACACACACACACACACACACACACGCATACACCCAAGGCTGCTCTGCCCTGCACAGCGCCTGAGCAAGGACATCAGTGGGGTCAGATTCTGAACTCTATTTTACCTGTTGGATTTTCTTTGTTTCAGCGTTTCAGGCTTGGGCCTCAGTCTACACGATTCAAATTGCGACATTCTTTTGTTCTGCCATTCCCAGATCTGTCTGAGATCCCTTTAGGCCTCTTCTGCCTGATTGATGCCAGGACTTTAGCCTCACCGTGATCTTGAACCCTGACTTTTAAACTTGCTCCTCGTGTCCTTCTGCTATTTTGTGGGTTGACTTCACTACCTGAGGGTCTTAAATTAAGTGCAAAGCAAGAGTAAACAGATGCTAAGTGAACATCTGGAATAGAAAAGTGTGGGGCATGGGAACCATTTTTTAATGTCTTTGCCTTCTTTTACAACCTTCCCAAATGGCTGCTGTGTTATTGATGTAGAGATCTAGGAAGAGTAGTGTGAGGTTTGTCAAGTGTAAAAGGAGAGGAAACGTATTTCTGGCTGACACATCTACAGTGAGAATCCTGTGCAGAGAAATTACACGCTAAGGAGAGGAGCTAAGAAATGCTTCTGTGGGGTCTTCCACAGCTGTACAGAAATACCTCACGCCTCTGAAACATCTGGAGAGAGCGGCTGCTCTGCCCTTGGTGATCTCTTTATAGTTTCCAACAATGAAATGACTTAATAGCCACTAGAGCACTAACATCCATGCTGCAGTGGTTTTTAAATCTTTTCGTGATGAGTTCTGTGTATGTGAGAGAAACACCTACTCATCAATCAGAATGGACTAGGTCAGCTGCAGAAGCAAATGACCCCAGACTCACAGTGGGTGGCAACAGCTGAGATTGATGGGTCTCCCTGCACGACCCGCTGTGGCTCTGTCCCGTGTCTTCTGCACAGGGGTCCACGCTGATGGACGGGCTCTCTGGGGTCCTCGGTGGACAGTGGAGGGGTCCGTGGAGAAGTGGTTGCCTGAGCATTCCCTGAGAACATGCTACCTCCAGCACAAGTCACCTCTGCCTGGGGCTCATCAACCCCAGTGTCTGGCCCCACCTGACACAGCCGGGACACCTGACAGGTGCAGGAAACTCCACCTGCTCCCCCCCGCCCCCGTGGCATTCTGAAGGGTCCCCTAGGACTCCATCGAGATGTCCATGCCAGTGAGCAGCCCCACGTGCCGCTGCTCCGCTGCTGACTAGCCTAATCTCCAGCAGCCCCAGTCGTCCCCTGGCGTTCCGTTTGATCTGCTTGACACCTGCTCAAGTTCTGCCCCCAGTGACGCCAGTCTTTGCCAGCCTCTCAGCTTGCTGTCCACAGTAGCCCTCGGCCTCAGCCCAGACTCTGAACTGTAGAAGTTCTAATATTTTCTTACTCTGTCTTCAGTTGTTATCTGAATTATGTTAGCCCCTGAATTTATACTACAGAATGTGACTTTATTTGGAGGAAAGACCTTTGCTAATCAAGGTAAAATGAAGTCACATGTGTGGGCCTGAAATCAGTGCATTTGTGTCCTTAGAAGAGGAGGAGTTTCAAGCTGGGTGCAGGTAGCTCATGCCTGTAATCCCATCTGCTCAGGAGCCAGAGATGAAGAGGCCAGGCCAGCATAGGGAAAAAATCCTCAAGACCTTCATCCCCACAGAAAAGGCTGGGTTTAGTGATGTACATCTATCACCCCCACTGTGCAAGAAACAAAGAGGATTTGGGTCTAGGCCATCCCTGAGTATAAAGCAAGACCTAGTTTCCAAAATAAGCAAAAAAGGGCAAGAGGCATGGTTTGAATGGTAGAGCCTGTCTAGCAAGCATCAAGCCTCGAATCCAAGTTAATAAAAAAGAAAGAAAGGAAGTTCAGGACACAGGGGGGCACAAAGAAACTACCATGTGAAGACACAGAAAGAAGATGGCTGTCTACAAATCGAGAAAGATCTATCCAACCCATCCCACACCAGCCAGACCCTGGGCTTCCAGTCTCCAGAACCTCATGACAAGGGCGTTTCTGTGGCACTTTCGCAGCAGCTGGAGCACAGGGACGCGCCTGCCTGGGACATCACGATTCTCATTCCAGAAACAGTTCCTTCCAAGTATGCCGATTGGCTTAGCATCTCATGCTTTAGACCTAGAACGTTGCTACCAAGAAAATACTAGTTCCTCTTTCCTGAGGATTTCTTTTGAGAACTCCTCAACCATGGGCACCGTGTGTGACACATAACAGATACACAATAAACATTTGTGGATGAATTGATCAAACGGTAACATGAGGAAGAAAGCTCGGGCCCTCACTAGGAAAGGTCTCAGAGACCCTGAGGGATTTGGGTAAGGTCACTCAGCCCTGTCTCTTCCCACAGCCTATCCTCTGAGCTTTCCCACTCCAGGTCCCTCCCCCAATCTCCTACCCCCTCCCCCAGGACATGGAAGAATGAAATTTCAGAAATGAGCTTAATCGATTACCATGTGGACCCAGTGGACAGATGAAGAAGCCAAGGCTGGAAGGGTTCTGAGAGGTGTAGTGAGAGCCACGCTGAGTACCTTAATTCCACATGACTGGGCAAAAATAACATGTTTTCTTCAATTTGAATACACATTAGTTCACCCTTAGGAGTGAGTCTGAAACCCCCAAAGAGCCCATTAGGGAATGAGAAAGCCTGCCCACAGAACAAAGGAATCTGTAATCTATGTACCTGAGAAGGACTCAAATCCTGAATATGCAAAGAACTTCTACAAATCAATAGGAAAAAAGCAGATGAGCCAACTGAAACAAATACACACACACACACACACACACACACACCTACTGTTGATCTCTTGTCCCTGAGGGCAAGGTAAGCGGAGGTTTTTAAAGGCAGACACTGCAAAATTTACTTATGCTTAGTGGGGGAGGGGAGGAGGAGGTTAGGGCCCCGCCAGATGAGGAGACAGCTCTGGTGCTGACTATCTCTTAATTTAAACAGAAAAGAAAGTTAGGGGATTTGTGACCCAGGTGGGTTGTAAAGCAGGACATCACAGTTCAATGATTTGCTTTCATGGTGTATTTTCTCTTTTCATAAGCTCCTGATGGCACTCATTGTAAAATTCCAGGGGCCTCTGCTGTAAAGTTGGGCCCGGGGACAGGGTGGGTGTTTCACTATAAAATGTTCAGAACGCTCCGCCTCAGTAAACATCAGGGGACCGTGTATCAAACCCTAACGCGGGGCCATTCTGCGCCCACTGAGATGGATGAGAAAGGCAGACGGGGCAGGACGGGGAGCAGCGGGCGCTTGTGTCTGGCAGGAGTGTGAGAAGAGTCACGTGGTCACAGCCTGGGAGCCGGAGTCTCACCGCACACACAGCCAATGGACAGATACTCATCCTGAGCAACTCCAGAGTAACCACAGAAACAGCTATTAACAGCATGACAGAAATAATTTATAGATGAGAAATAATGTATAGCAATGCAACGCAGAAATGAGAGTGAACGACAGCCCCACGTAGCGCTGTGTCCGCAGGCGATGCTGAGCAAACGCCGGCCTGGAAGAGGTTGTACGGGTGATTTCATTTGGATGAAGTGCAAACACAGGAAAGCGAATGGCCGCTGTCACGGGAACAGGCACCTGCAGGGAGGAAGGTGGCTGGGGGAAGGGAGGGGCTTGCGGGATGCCATTCATGTCCTGTTTCTGGATGGGCTGAGGTGTGGGCACTCACCAAGTCGGATGTCATTGTCCATGTGCATCTCTAACAGGAGACACCGACGGGGAATGTCAAAGAGAACAGACAGCTGTTCCTCTGTCCTGGAAACTGGAAGCCCAAGGTCCAGGAAGCGCCTTGACCTTGGAGCGTCCAGTGCAGGCGTGTGCTGTGTTCTAATCTAGAGGGAGGCATCAAGGGAAGAAAGGGGGAGGGGGGAGGGGAAGAGGAGGGCAGAGAAGAAGGGAAAGGGGAGGAGGAGGGGACAAACTCATCGCTGCCTAAGGAAGCCACTGTCATGGCATACCACCTTGCAGTGGAAAGGTCTCATCTCTGAAAGCTGCTAAGACAGAGGCGGCAGCACTTAACGCGGGCTTGGGAGTCACGCCACAGCCCTGGGCTTAGGATTTATATTCTGTGCACACGCTATACGTCAAAAGAAAAGAAAAGAAAAGAAAACCAACAAAACGAACTCAGAAAACCCCAGGGCAGGCTTGTGATGAATGGATTCTGAGTCAGCAGATGTTGTTTGAGAGGCGTCAGCCCCTTGAGGATGGCTGTGCTCTGGGGGTGTCGGGCAGGGTAGGAAGCACTCCATCAGAGCCACTTGAAGGGCGCGGACCACACAGGTACCGTGCAGCCGGGAGATGCTGTCTCCCGTGAACGCAGGCGCGCACAGCGGCACCGGCGCTGTCATCCCATGAACTTGGTTTCTCCCGGCTCTCGGCCGGGCTCCCGGGCTCCCGGTGTGGTTTGGGGGTGGTTCTTCTGCCCGGTCCTTGGTGACGTGGGAGGAGCGCTCAGTGGCACTCAGTGGCCACAGCACTGCTTCTGCCGGCACCCAACAGGAAGGAGCGAGAAGCCGGCCAGCTACACTGTGAAGAGGAAGCAACTTCTCCTCTCAGCCGACTCGGGTCTCTTGAAGCACGAGGAGGTAGGATGAGGGATCGAGGTCAGCCGGGATGGGGCAGGTACATGTGAAAAGTTTTTATTTTTGTTGTTGGTCATGGGGCTTGGATGTAGGGCCTGAGCGCTGTCCCTGAACTTCTTCTCTCAAGGTGAGCGCTCTGCCACTTTGAGCCCCAGCACCACTTCCAGTTTTCTAGTGCTTATTTGGAGATTCGAGTCTCATGAACTTTCCTGCCCCTGGCCAGTTTCAAACCACCCTCCTCAGATCTCAGCCTCCTGAGTAGCTAGGATGACAGGCATGGGCCACGGGGGGCCGGCTGAGATGACAGCTATCATAACTTTCCTTAAACTGGAAACTTGGAAAAGATAGGAAGTAAATTCATAATAAATTGGACAAAAGATGACTTGTCAGTTTACAGGATAAATACATTTAAAATGTAGAAATTGCCGTGTACCAGTGGCTCACAGTTATAATCCTAGCTAATAAAGAGACTGAAATCTGGAGGATCACACTTTGAAGCTTGACTGGGCAGAAAGTTCTGAGAGATTCCATCTCCAACCTACAAAAAGCTGGGCTGGAGTTTTGGCTGACATGCGAGGGCAGCAAGTAGGCTCAGCAAGCATGAGGCTTTGATTCAAACCCTAGTCCCTGCAAATCCAAATGAAACAAACCCCCAAACTAGTCAGAATTGTTTAAATTATATGGAGGAGGCTACTTTAGAATTCATTTAAAAAAAAAAAAACACTGGGGCTAGGAAGGTGGCTCCGTGGTAGAGCGCTTGCCTTGCATGCTCGAGGCCCTGGGTTCGATTCCTCAGCACCACATAAGCAAAAAGAAAAAAGCCGGAAGTGGCGCTGTGGCTCAAGTGGTAGAGCGCTAGCCTTGAGCTGAAGAGCTGAGGGACAGCGCCCAGGCCCAGAGTTCAGGCCCCATGACTGGAATAAGAAATAAAAAAATATATATAGAAAAAAAAGAATTCATTAAAAAAAAACACGAAGACACTACTTAAAAGCAATATAGCTATTTATTTAAAACAGAATCTTGCTCTGTAATAAGTTGCTTCAAACCTAAGTCTTTCTGCCTTTGCCTCCCAGATGCTGGGATTACAGGCATGCACCTCCAGGCTCCATTGGTGTGAATTGTTTAGACTATTGCTTGATGGTTTTGTCATTGGCATGAATCAACTGCACTAACGCCGAATGTTTGGATCACCTATAATCTCTAGGTTGGAGGTGGAATATAATTTGAGGGTAAAGAAATTCACTAGAGTTGAAATTAAAATTCCTTTCATGAAACGTCTTTACCACACATTTTGGTGAGAGAGAACAGAAGAAAGTCCTAAAGATCTATCACAACATCAGAATCGGTGTGGAAAAAATCATTCAGCCAAAACACTTGGCGGTTGTAACCTTTCAACTTCCCTGCCTGAAACAGAAACAGAGAAGCTGGCCAGAGAAGGTACTTAATAAATAGTAGTTGTTGGGCCAATGTTGAACATAAGAACAGTTATGACTAGTTCCTATTAATATCAATGATCACTTTGTCCTCCAGAGGAAGAGGTCAGGTTTAAGCTGAGAAAATCATGGTTCCTCTTTTGCTTTTTTAAGTCATATTTTCAAAAGTATTTTTAAGTAGTTGTACAAAGTAGTACCACGTCAGTTTATAAGTACAATGCGCCTTGACGGAGGGGAGACACGGTTACGGTCCAGAGTCCCCCAAATAACAAGGAACACAGACTTCCCTTGAGTGCGGGCTCTCCAGCCTCTCCGGGCTTCACGGTGCACGCCACACGTGTGTTTGGATGTGAATATTACATGTGCGCACTTGGAAAGACCAACTTGACACACGTGGGCATGGGCCGGGGCCTGGCACCGGAAGGAGGCAAAGCTGGGACTTCACAGGCTTTCTGGAAAGTCCACCTTCCTTTACTTCCTCTTGGTAACATGTATCTTTGAAGCCCGTGAATAGTGCCCCTCCAGGCTTTCTGTGGGTAGGAAGGTGTTCTTTGTCTATCTTGGGGGTGTTATTTTCTGTGGGTGTCATCTTCCATTAAGAATCTGGCCCGGCAAAAGCAAAAGGATGACATTTTGGGGTAGACGTCCAAGGCCAGTGCAGCGCTCAGCTTCTCCCCTGTGTGAGGCAGAGGCTGTGGCTGCCAACGTGGAGAGGCTTCTCAAGGAAATGGCTGTGGTGAGGGCCACACGGACGGCGCTCCGTCATTTCCTGTGAACGCGGGGTGCTGGTGGCTTCTGCAGCGGGGCCCCAGCGGGGAGGTGGGGGAGCCTCCCTCCTTCCCCCCACGGCTGCCTGAGCACAGAGAACATGATTCATCTGCAAAGAGAGAATCCCTCCCTTTCTCACTCGCCTTTTTCCTTTTCTCCTCTTTTACCTTTCTGGTTACTTTGCCACCAGCCAGACCTCAAGGCCCAGGTCAAGGCTTCCAGGCAGGCCAAGGAGAGCACGCTGTTCCGTAACTCCAGGAGCTGCGCTGGGAAGGCGCCTTTCAAAACCATCACTGGGAAAACTGCTGCGTGTGTTTACGTAAGCTGAGACGCTTTAGTCACCAAGAGGAGAGAGAACGTGGGGACACCAGTGGATTGGCCGCGTGCTGACGGACACGTGGCTCTTTCCATCTCCTGGCAAAGTCGCCCTCTCTCCCCTCCAGGAAGTTTCTCCTGGTCCCACTGGTCCTTTCTGCCTTCCCCACACGGTGAACCTTAAACCATGAGCCTCAGGAGCCCGACCTCCTGGGGAGCGAGCGAGGAGCTTAAGTGTGAGCTTAAGTGGTCGTGGGGCCTGAACTCTGGGCCTGGGCGCTGTCCCTCAGCTCTTCAGCTCAAGGCGAGCGCTCTACCACTTGAGCCACAGCACCACTTCCAGCTTCTTGTGCTTATGTGGTGCTGAGGAATGGAACCCAGGGCCTCAGGCATGCAAGGCAAGCGCTCTACCACTGAGTCACCTTCCCAGCCCGGCTAAGTTCTTTTTAACTGTTGATTGAGATTAGGCTGACAGGACAAGTGGTAGAATGCAGAAGCAGCCACAAATTTGAAAGTTCAAGGGCCAAGGAAATTTAACCGTAAGTCTCCGTGTGGGAGGGCAGGTCTTGAACCCAGGGCCTGGATCATGAACAAGATGTAAGAATCTGCTGAATGAGTGAGATTATAAATATTATCCAAGGGAAAAAAATAGATTTGGAAACAGGTACCAGTGGCTCACGCACAGACTGCACTCTGGGGAGGGTGGTTCAAAGCCAGCCTGGGAGAAAAGCTTATGAAACACTTACCTTCAGTTAACCACCAAGAAGCTGGAAGTGGAGCTGTGGCTCAAGTGGTAGAATGCCAGTCTTGAGCAAAAAAGCTCAAGTGCCCAGGCCATGAGTTCAAGCCCAGTACTGGCACTATTTTTTTTTTTTTAGATTTAAGATGTAAGTAAAGTGTTATCCAGTCCTTATTCCCTTGAGCTTCTCAAGGCCTATAGAAGTGAAGATCTAAGTCAGTGGTTTGGCTGAATGTTTGGGGAAATTAGAATCGAAGTGTCTAATGATCAAGAGTAACCACAGTGGGACGGAGACTGTGGCTTAGTGGAAGAGTGCTTGCCTTGCATGTGTGAGGCCCTGGGTTCGATTCCTTGGTATCACATAAACAACAACAACAAAAGATTAATTTAAGGGGCTGGGAAGGTGGCTCAGTGGTACAGCGCTTGCCTTGCATGCCTGAGGCCCTGGGTTCGATTCCTCAGCATCACATAAGCAAAAAGAAAAAAGCCAGAAGTGGCGCTGTGGCTCAAGTGGTAGAATGTTAGCCTTGAGCTGAAGAGCTGAGGGACAGTGCTCAGGCCCAGAGTTCAGGCCCCACAATCAGACCCCCCAAAAAAAAAGATTAATAAAAAAAATAGTAACCATAGCTGGAAGGATTTGGAAGACTCATACTTCAAGTTTTCCAAGCTTTGGTCTTAGATCGGCTTGGAAGACCAGAAAACTCCCTGATCAATATCTGAGATGCATTCAGTGAATCATAAATTATTTTTGCAGTTTATGAAAAGACTTTTTTTTTATTACTTTACTACGTACCCTATTAGTGAGTACACCAGGTTGCATTTTCTCAAGTCACAAATGAAGCACAGGATTATCTCTTTCTCTCTCTGACTCTTCTTAGAACCTCGATATCAGCTGTCTTTTGGAAGATTCGCTTTCTCACGCCGTCTGTGATACTGTCCACGAGGGTGCTGGCAGTGCTGAGCAGTGCAGAAGATGTTCTGTCATGGTTCCTCGCTCAAAATGATTTTTTTCTTCCCATTTGGTTTTCAGAATGTGATGATGTGTGTCTTCATTACTATGCCCAGGGTCTGGTGGAGGGGCGGGTTTTCTGTGTTCCTGTGGGATGTCCACGCTGGAATGGCCACAGAAGGGTGGACATTCTATCATCCTGCCACTCGATGTTGAAGCAAGCTTCAGGTGGCTATGAGAGCCATCTGGAAGAGAAGAATAGGCAGACTGATGACAAGCAGGCCAGCCGGGGCTCTGTAGGCAGGTCATGCTGTGAGCCTGCCATCTTACCTCCTGAGTGAATCCATTTTATGCTATCTCCTTAGCTTTACTTTGTAATCAGTTCAATAGTGATTCCGGGAGCACATTTTTTTTAGTCCTCCTACCTTGAGGGTGCTCTGTGTTTCTTACTGTCAACTATGTATATCTTGATTTTTCATTGTGATTGTTTCTCCGGGGCTACTAGGAAGGTCAGAATTTAGTTAATGCTCAAGCATAGTGACTGTTTCCCTCCAGCTTCCGGGTAGAACCATCTGCCCCCTTTTCTTTCCCACAGCTGAGTCTCTCTGACTTTTCCATTTCTGTGTGCTTTTACTGTATATTTTTGTTAGGAGTAGATTAGAGTACCAAAAACGAAACAGTTGGTCAAGCCAAGAACAAGGCCTGGCACTTGAAAAGCGCTCAGTAAATATTTACTGGATGACTGGATGGTTCTGGAAAATAAACTCATTTCTCTTTTCAGTAAGTGGAAGTTTGTGTCCACAAGGGGGAGCTTGAGCTCCCACGTCTGTCTGGAATGGGCCCTTCCTTGGCCCATAGGCTGGAGTGAGGGAGTGTTGAGGGGTGTTTTGTCATGACAGTTGGAGCCTGTATTTCTGGAATGCAGAAGGCCCAGACATCTGATGAGCAAGCCTTGGAGGATTCCCAGGTCCCTCTGGCTGAAGCACTCTGCGCGGATATTACCAGCCCAGGATCACTCTTACCGTACCCAGCTTCATGAAGAGCTGGAGACCAGAATCCCAACAGCCACGGGAAGAGAAAGCCACAGGGCTCACACCCCATGTTTGGAGGACTTCATTCAAAGTACCTGAGAGTCTTTAAATGGCCAAGAGTAGAAATAAGAGAACAAGAAGAACTGAGGGTGAAGTTTAAAAGGCAGTGAAAAGATGGAGAACTTGCTCCTGACCACTTGACTTGGCTGTCTTTGATTGTTTTCCACTTTGCAGAACCTCAGAGCCTCAGGAAATGAAGCCCTGCATGCTCAGCTGGACACTGGAATCAAAGGGCACCAAACTTTGCCCCTGGTGGCACCAAGAAGTGCTGGCCCCCTGGTCAGGGCTCAGGCTCCTGGCTCCTGGCTGTCTTTGCAGGAAATCTTTGGAGAGTAGGAACTTCAGTTCATTTTACTGGAGACTAGACGCTAAGTCATCCCTTTCCAGAACTCTTGAGTTTTCCTGTTCACAGAATCTCTGTAATTAGAGCAAGCAATATATCACAGCTTTATCGTATGATAGATAAACTAATAAATATGGAATCGCTTAAGCCAATCAGTCCTTAGAAGGCAGGCCCGTGCATTTAGGTGGGGAAATAGTACATGATTATGTTCATTAGCTTTTAACCAGAATTTAGCGTTTCCTTAGATTATGGCAAAAACCTAGTAGAATGAGCAGGACTTACAATTTGGTCCATAATAGAAAGCACAGATATTTTCACACTATATTATGTGTTGTATATATCTCAAAATACTGTTCACACAGATAGCATTTTGAAACTAGGGAAATCTTTACATCACTCCCAGATCTTATTTCATACATCCCTGATCACACAGAATTGTGTGTGTGTGTGTGTGTGTGTGTGTGTGTGTGTGTGTTTTGTATGTGCTAGTGTGCGGGTTTGAACTCAAGGCTTCTCTTTCTCACTTATCTTTTTGCTCGGGGCTGGCTAATTGGGGGTAAAGCAGTAATGTTTTAGGTTATGTCTGTAATCCTTGCTACTCTGGAGGCTGGAATTTGAGGATCATGCTTTGAAGCTAACTCAGGCAGGAAAGGTCAGTGAAACTTTTATCTCCAAGTAATCACTAAAAAGCCAGAAGTAGAGCTGTGTCTTAAGTGGTAGAATGCTAACCTTAAAAGCTCAGAGACAGTACCCAAGCCCTGAGCTCAAACCCCAGTACTACAAAACAAACAACATCAAAAAAGAAAATCCATGTTTAGATGTTTTTGGAAGTTTTGAATATAACAAATCTTCCTTTATGAAATTTAAAAACTTCCATTATCATCACCAAAGAAAAGGTAAAGATTTAACCATGTAGACCAGTTTGTTTTAATCTCTGTAAAGCTGTGAAGCTCTCAAGCTGGGAAAACTGATACTATTTTATTTTTCTCCTGCAGGTATTAATCAGGTTGGGCTTTTAACCATGCTGGGCTCACCTGGAGGCTTTTTCAAGGACGCATTGTCAAGCATTCTTTGTGCTACTTCTGAAGTTCTTCCACGTGGCGATGACTTCCGCTTCACAGGAATTATCTGCTAGAAGCCATGCATGATTTGTAACGATCTCTGGCAAAATCTCAGGAAAAGATATACTCTTGTCTCAGGCCGATGTGAGAGGCTGTGGCGGAGCCTGAACGCAAAGGCTCCTCTGAGGACAGAGGCACCGCGGCTAGGCACCTGCTCCTCCGGAGGAGCATGACACCGACAGAAAGGGAGAAACAACCACAGCAAGCACGCGGGCACCAGTGAAATCAAAACAACCACAGCAAACAAGCAGGCACCAGGGAAATCGGAGACGGCTCTTTCCAGAACACAGGGTTCCAGCTGCACTGGGGCTCGACTGCAGAGCCCTGAAACCCTTCCCACGTGGGTGGAAAAAAATGGCCCACCAAGTAGATCTGGAGTCCATGAAGGAGTTAGAGCGCGAGGTCATTCTCCAAGTCCTCTATCGAGACCAGGCTGTTCGGAGCATAGAGGAGGAGCGGACACGGTAAGCTGTCTTCAGAGGTGTGCTGTCCCCCACTCTTTCAGTGGGCTGAGCTGTCCTTAGCGGGGTACACTACAGGTACCGATCTACGGGACGTGGCTTTTTCTCTGGAGCAGCTGCATTTTGGCTTCTTCACTGCTTGCTGGCCGTTACCTTTGCTCACTGCTGGCTTCGGACCGAGAAGGGTCTGAATGGAGGCTTGGGGGTGGGAATTATTTCTGCAGTGGAGCTAAACTCAGAAGACAGGAAGAAGGGAGGCTGCCCTTGTTATTTGCGTTCATTGGCAGCTTTTGTGTGTTTGTCTATTTGCTCACTTTGGGAGAGGAATTGGAGGGAAAGCCTCAGGCTTTTGGAGGTGTCCCGTTCTCCTCCCGCACCCCTGCCCCCCAACAAGGGGGTCAAGACCTGGGGCTCTAAGTTTTCCTGCCCTTCCTTTGGGGGTATCTCAATGCCCAGAGAAGGTGGCTTAGAAACACCATTGCTGCCTTTCTTCGTTGCTCACCTTTCCTTCCCCATTGCACGAAGGAAAAACACAAGTCAACCTGCTCAGCCTGTTCTCTCGCTGCTTTGCCAATACGTCTCTCCTTTCCTGCTAGCTGGTGTGTGAATGCTTGAAGGCAGTGTTAGGCTTCATCTATAGTTAGCTGGCAAGTCCCATATTTGCCTTTTTTATTCATGCTGATTCTGGGGTTTGAACTCACAGTATGTTTTTGTTGTTAAATTTATTTATTTTATTAACAATAATAATAATATATATTTTTTTGCCAGTCCTGGGGCTTGAACTCAGGGAGCTTCTTTTGCTCAAGGCCAGCACTCTACCACTTGAGCCATGGCACCACTTCTGGCTTTTTCTGTGTATGTGGTACTGAGGAATTGAACCTAGGGTTTCATGCATGCTAGGCGAGCACTCTACCACTAAGCCACATTCCCAGCCCTATTTATTTTATTTTTAAAATTAGCTTTAGTTGTACAAAGAGGTTACCATTTGCAAGTCACTTTATAAGTACAATGCAGCTTGGTGGTTTTCCTAGTTTCATGAGCTGTTTAGAACATTATGACTGTATTCAGGGCCTCATGCTCTTGCTTAGCAATTTTGCTCAAGGCTCGCTCTGTACCACTTGAGCCACAGCCCCATTTCCAGCATTTTTGGTGGTTTATTGGAGATAAGAGTCTCGTGGACTTTTCTGCCCAAGCTGGATTTGAATTCTGATCCTCAGATCTCAGCCTCCTGAGTAACTAGGATTACAGATGTGAGCCGCCAGCCTCTGCTAAGACCCACCTTTAAACACCCATGCTATGGAAAAGACAAGTTTCAAGAAGTGGATGGAGTGAGGCTGCAGCTCACTTGTGCCGTGAGTGAAAGGCCCAGCATCGTCAGCACCCAACAACAAACCAACCAAACGGGATGTGTTTGGTTTTGCGGAACGTTTTCAGAATCTGCCAACAAAAATACAACTCGCATAAAATAAAAATGTGGACAACCAAGGCTTGGGCAACGCCAGAGGACATTTTCTGATCCTTTGGAAGATACGATATTCTTTTTCTAAACACAAAGCAAAAGAAAACAACCCACAAAACCCCCTTTCCTTGTTATTCCAAATTACTTGAAGTGTATTTGTGTCTTCTCTTCCATAGGAAACTATAATACAGAATTCGACTGGGTGTCTCCGGGCAGCGGCGGGGTGTGCACTGTAGCTGCGGATCTGGGGATCTGGGGATCTTCTGTGCCTGCGCTGGGCCGGGTGCTCCCTGGGCCGTCCTCCTCCTCCTCCTCCTCCTCCTCCCCCTCCTCCTCTTCTCACTGTTCCTGGGTACAAGGGAAGAAGCCAGAACAGAAGAGCAGCTCACTCAGCGCACACTCGAGCCAGCCCAGGCCCCCCGGTGTGGAGACCCGGGGACCCCGGCCTCGCCGTGGTGGGCCTGGGCCGGCACGCCATCCGACCGCATCTCCTTCCATTCCGTGGTCACAGGAAACTGAAGACGCGCCTGCAGAGCCTGCGGTGGAGCGGGGCGGCCGGCCTGAGCGCGGAGGAGCGGGGCAGGCGCTGCGCGCGGTGCGCACGCGCGCTGGGGCTGCTGCGGGACCGCGGGGCCGCGTGCCAGCCACCGCGTGTGCGCCGCGTGCCGCGTGTTCCCACGGGCGTCGCGGGCCTGGAGGTGCACCGTGTGCTTCGAGGACAGGTGAGGGTCTGGGGGTGCACTGTGTGCTTCGAGGACAGGTGAGGGTCTGGGGTGCACCGTGTGTCTGGAGGACAGGTGAGGGTCTGGGGTGCACCGCGTGTCTGGAGGACAGGTGAGGGTCTGGGGTGCACCGCGTGTCTGGAGCACAGCTGAGGGTCTGGGGTGCACCGCGTGCCTGGAGGACAGGTGAAGGCTTGGGGGACCGGGCCTCCATTCACCAGATCTTGGGGGTCCTGAGCCCGGTGCCAGGGCTCCACTTACCCCAGGAGGCCCAGGGGAGGTGTGCTGGCCAGGTGAGGGGTTTGCCCCACTTCCGGCATGTGGCAGGTGGAGGCGGAAGCGTGCTGCTGTGTCCACACTCAGAGCCTTCAGTTTGACTGAAAGGAGATGGGGGCAGCAAGGGGAGAGAGGCGTAATCATCCATCAGTCCCTGTCACAGATGCTCCAGCGGGGAGAGGAGCGGGCACAGGCCGTCTGGGGCCGGCCTATCCCAGGCCTGCCTGGCAGGGCCTGGTTACCCCGAGAGTCATTGCTGCCTGGCAGCTGCTCGGCACTGTGCAAGCTCTGCTTTCTTTCCTTTGTGAAGGTATTTCTAGATGGTTCTCTCCTTCCTGGAGCCCAGGGTGGTTACAGGGGTGAGGAGGTGGGAGGAAAGGGTGGGGGAGAGACAGGGAGACAGAGACAGAGACAGACAAGAAAGAGGCAGAGACAGAGAGAGACAGAGACAGAGGAGAGAGAGGAGAGAGAGATTGGAGAGAAGAGAGAGAACAAACCTCATTGCAAAGGCTGGGATGCTGTCTTTATCTTCTTCCTATTTAATTCATAGCCCAAGTAAAGATGTCAGTGTTTTCCAGCAAAAGCACTTTCTAGGTATCTGTTAGAAAACTCTGTGTGTGTGTGTGTGTGTGTGTGTGTGAATGTGAATTCTATGGCTTGAACTCAGGACCTGGGCACTGTCCTTGAGCAACTTGTGCTCAAGGCTACAGCTCTACCATTTGAGCCACAGCTCCACTTCAATTTGGCAGGTGTGGTTTATTGGAGAGAAGAGTCTCATGGACTTTCCTGCGCAGGCTGGCTTTGAATGGTGATTGCAGATCTCAGCCTCCTAAATAGCTAGGATTACAGGCATGAACCACCAGCGCCCAGCTCTCTTAGAAAATTTTTTAACTGTATTTTTTTGTCTTTTCTTTTTTGGTACTGGGGATCGAACCCAGGACGTTGCGCTTGCTAGGCAAGTGCTTTGCCACTGAGCTACATCCCAGCCCTCTCTTAGAAAATTTTTGAAAAAAAAGAAAAAAGAAAATTTTTGACAAAGCCAGCTCTCCTCAAATCTGATCAAGTGCCTAAGGTAGAGTTCCCTTTCTTCCTTTTGGGAGATATTTTATTTCTAAATAATTTTTAGTATATAAAAGCATGTTTCAGTTTCCTGCTTTGTAATGGCTGATGATGCACTTAACTCTGGAATGTAGGTTCACGTGGGTCTCTTAACCAATGCCTTGGTTTTCTTAGGCCTTCATATACCCGCTTCAGTAAAATTGCAGGGCTGGAGGCCAGGGAGGTAGGAAGCCAAACACAGCCAGCCTAAGCTGAACACTCAGTGCAGAAATGATACCTTCCATTTACCCAACTGACATTTCTTTGAACCTTTCAGTGGTGAAATTGTTAAACTCATTTGAACACAGAACTGATGACTTCAAAGTACTGAGTTTGAAATGAAGGCACATACTTGACTTGAATGCTCATTGTTCAAAGCAAGAATGGGCTGGTGGTAGATTTCTGTTGCGGGGGGGGGGGGAGTGTACAAGGAGGAGACCATCACAGAACTTAGCAGAAGCGAGAAAGAACACAAGGCACATTTGACTTGGGAATGGATTCCTGGAGACCTGGAAGCAGCTTCTCAGTGTTGCTGGAGAGGTGTCAGGGCTCAGGGGCAGAATGGAGAGGTTCCCCCTGCAGGTCTGGTGCTGGCGTCTCTCCTCCAAACCCTGGAGGGCTGCTTTCTTGGAGACCTTGGCATTCATCCATGTAGGTTCCTGTCCCTTTGAAGGGCTTACTGCAGTTCATTTGTTCAGCCAGAAAAGTGGCTCTGCCTGCTCTCTCTGTCCTTCGTTTCACTGCAGTGACGGATTGGTTACCCTTGTTTCTCTGGTTTTCTGGAGCCTGTGCCCTTCAGACCTTGGTAAGCTTGAGAGCAAAGACCAAAGCAGAAGCTTGAGCTGCCCTGACCCCGTAGCGCTGATGCCGGCCAGGACTCTCCAGAGAGCTGATCATGATTCTAAACCATTTCTAGAAAGGTCTGCAGACTTTTTTCCCCTATTCTATCAACTGCCTAGATTTGAAATCTAATGAGAAACTATACCGTAAAGGTATTAAGTTATTCCCCAGCTGCCTTCTTCTCCTAAGAGTTAACTGTAAACTAAACATCAAAACAGGAGAATGGGCGGAAGCAATCTCCAAGGAAGCTGAGCTGTTGCAATCCCCACCTCAAGGGCTCTGTGTGGGAGGGCAGTGGCGTTGTAACTTGACCTTCTAAGTACACTAAGGATCATTTTTAAAGCCCCAGCTTCCTTATTTTGAAATAAGGATGTTTTTCAAAATGCTTAAGATAATTGCAATGGCTACTGTGAGTGAATTAACACCGGAAGCTGTGTGGGGAGAGAGTTCAGTTTATAACAACGTATGCTTTCTGTCTCTTCACCATGCTTGCCTTCTCTTTAGCTTTGGCCCCTCTTGGCCACCATACAATTTGAGAACCCAACAAGGAAGTTTAGACTTCTTCCCTCTTATATTCTGGGACCTAGTGAAGGATATTGATGCTGCTTATGATACCTTTGCTTCTCCCTTGTTTTAGTTTGGTTTTGATCAGGTACTGGAGCTTGAACTCAGGACCATTCAGTTGGCTTTTTTGCTCAAGGCTGGCACTCTACCACTTGAGCCATACCTTCACTTGGGCTTCCTAACTGCTTTGGAAAGTGATGGCTGAAATCTTGGGATGTGGTTGGGCCTGGTCAGGCAGGGAGCCTGCTAAGAGGAAGAAAATCTTTACCTCCATTTTGCGTTAGGGGTGAGGCCAGGAGTGTGTTTGGCAAAAAGAGATAAGGAGACTTGGTTCTATAGCTCTTTATGTGTTGGAGCGGTGGATGATGTTAGGGAATTTCTTTATCCAGTGAATGAATGGAGACAAGCCATTGGGTTTGGCAAGCAAGAATCCCAAAAGGAATCCAGGGTATCAGCTGAGTGTGCAAATCAGCTGAGGAGTTCTACACTGATAGCATGTATCAGGTGGAGATGGCTGGTTGCTTTGGAAGAACAGAGACAGGCAAGTGAATGTTAGAGACAGCTCCTGAGTGGTGATTGGCTGTGGGAGCCTGGGTGGGGTTCTGGGTCCCTGGTAAAACATGAGCACTGTACACACGGCCCTTGGAGGGGCGCGGGGAGGAGTCTGACGTGTGGCAGTCCTAGTGACAATGTTGGATTCCTGATTGCATCCATTTGGCCAATCTTACCCTTTGCACCTGCCATGTTATATGGCACCTCGTGCCACATTTTAATACCTGTTTTGTTTATATTTATTAATAGAAATTAATTTATTAAACTAACTCTACATTTTAGCAACTCCAGGGCTTATTGCCCATCCATGATTTCTCAGCCTATAATTTCTTGACTGCAATTTATTTCTCAATTAATGAAAATACCTCCTGCAGGATATTTTCCTGACAAGGCCACATGAATGCCATGCTTTTGGAGCCATTGTGTTATTTGTGAGCCTTTTCCAGTGGCTTTCCCTGCAATAATAACCTCACTGAGTTTGTTTTTAGTCCGAGGTCCCAACCTTTAATTAAGAAATTCAATAGAGAGCCAATCCAGTGGCTCATGCCTGTAATCTTAGCTGAAAGTCAAGGATGAATTGTGGATGAAGGCCAGCTTAGGCAGAAAAGGTTATGTGATCCTGTCTTGAAACAGGGCTAGAGGAATGGCTTGAGTGGTTGAGTACCAGCCTAGCAAACTCAAGGCTTTGGGTTCAAATTCCAGCATTTCCAAAAAGAAAAGAAATTCAACAAATACATCCCTGTCTTTTGAAATTTGGTATTACATAGAGTCATCTAAGACTATTTTTAATTTTTTTATCATCTGGATTTTACGCACTACTATGTTCCTGTCATTAAAAACAGTTTCTAATATCTGTGTGGGAGAAGTCACATCACACTGATCTTTATGAAATAAAGAAAATTACTTGGAGCAGATCGTTCAGCCCCTTGAGTTTGCCTAACATCTTCTTCAGTTACATCCAGTTATTCTTGAGTGTCACGTGTCCTGGCTGCTTAGGGAAGAACTGTGCATGAGCGAGCTGGCCTTGTCCTCTGTTTGTACTGCCTTCTCCCTTATTATTTCATGGCTTTTTTTCTTTGCTCACTCTGAACCTTCCAGACTGTTTTCCTCTTCACTGTGGCAACACAGAATTCACTGCTTCGGTATGAATGGTTTCTTAAATCTTTCTTTATTCTGTCCCATTTCTTCATGCTGGCCTGCATTTTCCTTAAGATCTTTCTGGTTCTTTTTCACAGAAGCAGGTCTGCCATGTCTGTGAACATGGGCTACTTCTTGGGAGTTCCCTCTGGTTGCCATAGTGATGATGGCTGAGTGGCGGCTCCTTGAGTCCTGCCCATTAGGTGTATCCTGCAGATGGTCTGTTGCCAGGTGCTCTTGGCTCGTCTCCCCAGCCTCCAGGGTAGGGCCGTGTTTCCTGCCCTGTGTCTTTCTCATGGCCTCTGCTTAGATCTATAGTTTGATACATGGGGCCCTGCCCATTTTCTGAGTCAGGGCCTTAAACAAGGTTGCATTGAGATGTCCTTTAGCTCATTGCCTAGTTAGATATTCCACACTGAGAATCACGGCCTCTATCTTGCGACCACTGGACTGCAGATGGCTCAGGGGCCTTAGTGTTCTGTCCTATACAATGTTTTATCCATATCATTTTAATGCTTACTATGGGCTGTGAGCTCACCAGGGTGCGCCCCTCTCTGAACCCCTGCTTCTCCTCTCATTACAGTTCTGCTTGGTGTCTGGGTGCCCAACCCCCAGCTCTATGTCCCTGGAGGGCGTGGCATACATTACACTCTGCCCTGGACGCCATGCATCTTGGATCCCTCTTTAACATTCTGGTAGGGGGCGGATATCCATTCACTCTCGGCCGAAGCCCCTGGGGCTGTGCCTGGCACACAAGGTGTCAGAGGGGACGCCTGCTGTTTTTCTGAGGCTGTGTAGAGGGGACAGTTAATATTTTGCAAGAAGTGTTGGTAGAAGTTTGATAAACATCTCTCTATCTTCATCTTGATCCTCTGATTCCTCTGGTAGCCTAGGATCTAATCTCATCAATCAGTCTTTTTATTTCCAGTAAGAACATTGAAATCATATCAGCTGACCTAATGACAAACCTCACGATTTTATTCTCCTGGAAGCTGTCTCGCAGCTTGCTATCTTCGCTGCAGGATTAGCTGGAGTAATGAGGTTTTCAACTATATTGCACACAGGTCTTGCTTATTTGGTGCTGGTACTGGGCCTTGAACTCCAGGCCTTTAGCTCTCACTTGGCTTTTTCACTCAACGCAGTGATCAATCACTTGAGCCATACTTCCATTTCTGGCTCTTTGCCGGTTAACTGGAGATAGGAGTCTCATGGAGCTTTCTGCCTGGGCTGGCTGTGAATCTTGATCCTTGGAAGTCAGCATCCTGATTAGCTAGAATTACAGACAGGAACCACCAGAGAAGGACGTTTAACCCGGATTTACCTAGCAGCTGGGCAAACGTGTACAGACAAGTCATGTTGCTTTCAGCTTTGCAAGCTGCTTTGTCTGGTGTTTTTGCAGTTAATGTCGCTAAACATTGGCTGGTTGTTTTCACTAGGGATTAAACCCAGGGCTTTACTCAGGCCAAGCACCTGTGGTTCCTATGGTACACTATTTTTTTTTTTTTTGCTGGTCCTGGGGCTCAAACTCTGGGCTTGGGCACTGTCCCTGAGCAACTTTTTGCTCAAAGCTAATGCTCTACCACTTGAGCCACAGCACCACTTCCAGATTTTTCTGTGATTAATTAGAGCTAAGAGTCTCACAGGCTTTCCTGCCCAGGCTGGCTTTGAACTGTGATTCTCACCTCTCAGCCTCCAACGTGGCTAGGATTTCAAGCATGAGCCACCAGTGGCCCGGCTTTTATATGGTACACTATTTTAAGGGTGCAGTTTATAATATTTGTGGAAATTTCCCTTTGACATCCTAAAAGGACATTAAGAAGTTTACATTTTTTTTAGAAGTTTACATTTTTTGAGGTTCTTGGAGATGTAGAAACCATGGGGAGTGAAACACACGGGTACCTCGGTTTCCGGTTATGAAGGGCCCTGTGTGTGCCTAGGCTTTGGGTCAGGTCCCCTCGGGCCCCATCCTCGGATCTCCATCGCAGAAGATTGGCCCCAGACTCCAGGTCAAGGCCCTCCCACGAGCCAGCTCTGGTCTGTTGGCTCGTGGTAAATATTCTGGCAAACACAAACTAAAATTAACTTAAAGGTCATTTTCTGAGGGAAATCTGTGCTTTTCCCTCATGCCGTTGGTTTCCACTGTGAATGTGGTAAATTGGTCATTTTGTGACAACTTTGTTTTTGCTTTTTGTATTTATTCAGGAATATTAAAACTTGCTATTTTGGGTATAAGCATCTACCAATAGGCTTGCATTCACATGTATGCATTGTGTGCAGGGTAAAATATGCCGACCCAGGAGACTCTGGAACTTTGGGGAATCTGTGCAGAAAAGTTTGGTCCTGTGTAAGACTAGTATTTTGTGATATAACCTCCACATCTCTTGGAACCAAATACAAAGCCTCTGTCTGAGGCTTCTTTTCTGCTTGTTTCTCAGAAATGTGAAAATAAAAACTGGAGAGTGGTTCTTCGAGGAACGAGCCAAGAAATTTCCAACTGAAGGTAAGTGTTCTTAAAACCTTTACAAAAGTAATGTAATTCCTAGTTTTAATGTATTTGGTGCTAAGGCTTTATTTTTAAAACGCCTTATGGGCTTAGAATTGTCAAAAGATGAATTTAGACAACACGTTTAATCCTAGGTTTAATTGGCTTTCACTGTGATCTGGGACTTGGGGTAGCTTCCTCCACACAAATCAAATGAGACTCTGCCTCCCTGCGAAAAGCAGGACAGTTGGTTTTGTAAGGTGAGGACTGGGGAACAAGAGACAAGCCGATTGGCTAACATCGGTTACTTCAGGTTACCTTTTTGGTCATGATTAAAGACTGTGAAGGTCTTGGAATTATAAGCTTAATAAGTTATATGCTATCGTACTCACGTCTGAGCATGACGTGGCGAAGTGATCGGAAGCTGAGACTAAACCATAGAGAGAACAGATTGTGCTTGGGTCGCCCGGATGCCTGTGTCGAAGCGTGACAAACCCCAGACACGGCTGTGTCACCCTGAAGAGGAGGCAGCGCGCCAGGGGGTGGCTCTCCTCATCCCTAATGGGAGAGGATGAGGAAACAAAGGCGGAGGGCCTGGGAAGGTGGCTCAGTGGTGAAGCGCTTGCCTTGTATGTATGAGGCTCTGGGTTCAATTCCTCAGCACCACATAAGCAGAAAAAGCTGGAAGTGGCGCTGTGGAGCAAGCGGTAGAGCGCTATCTTGAGGTGAAGAGCTGAGGGACAGCGCCCAGTACCAGAGTTCAGTCCCCATGAAGGACAAAACCAAACCAAACAAACACAAGAAACAACTCAGGCTGACTCAGAGGAAATGGGGTGACTTGAAACACATTTGCTAGTCATAGTTAAAATAGAGAAATAGACCATTTAACCTTATCCCCAAATCAGCTGGTGGTAAGGAAAGCCTTGTGTTTGATGATCCTTACCATTTCTTTCTATCTTCTTTGTTATCATTATTCTGTTATCTTGAAGTAGTTGTGCAAGAGGGTCCAACGCAGCATGTCAGTTTGTGTCACCCGATTTGTTAGGAAATGGAAAGACTTGGAAAAAAAATCATATTAAGTGAAGTTACCCAGTCCCAAAGAAATTTAGGTCCCAGGGTTTCCCTTATTTGCAATAATTAGCATCCATATAGGATAATCTTATCAGATGAGCTGAACAGCTCAAAAAACCATGTACAGATGACCATATAAGTTGATGCTAAGTGAAATGAACCCCAAGATATGGACACAAGAGGTCTGTCTTTATTGTTACTGTGTTAAATGACATGCATCTTGATCCACGTCACCCTTCCACGTTCTCCCCCTCCTCCCCCAACCCCCCTCCCCTCAAGTTCCAGGCTCCCCTCATTTTCACATATGTACATTGAATATCAGGACAGCACTCGCCCACCTTCCTCTCCCCATTTGTCTGCCCACCCCTCTCGGGGCCCCTCCTTCCACAAGCACGGGTTCCAGCATCCTGGAAGTCGTTGCGTGATGCTGTATCAAGCCCCCTACTTTAGTCAGTGTGTGTGTGAGCGGTTGAACTGCAGATTTGGCTGGTGTGAGATTCTCCCCTGGATGGTTTTCCTGACTCCTCTGATGGGGGGGGGAGTGGGACCTGATGCTTCTCAGCCAAGCTCATTTGAAATCTGGAAGAAAACATGGCGCCCAGACAGCAGATAGAAGCGAGCAGGTTGCTACCTCTTTTCGGGGCTCCCTGGCAGGAGCGCTGGTCAGGTTTACACTGAGTGACTCCGCTGCACATGCCAAGCGAGACCCTTCTCCTGGAGGAGCTTCATGTTGATTGAAGTAATCCCAGCAGCCATTCTCTCATCACTCAACTTCTTTTTTTTTTTTTTGGGTCTGGTCGTGGGGCCTGAGCTCTGGGCCTGGCGCTGTCCCTCAGCTCTTCAGCTCAAGGCCAGCGCTCAACCACTTGTCAACTTCCTTTTTATTGCTTCTCCTATTTCTCTTTTAATAGTCCTCCTAGATATGTGCTATTGTAGATAAATGTTGCCAGAATCTCCCTGAAAGTAGACAGAGATAAATAATAATTCAGGAAAGAATCATAGACATTAATTGTGGCAATATTTTTATATGTATGTATCAGTACTAGGGCTTGCTCTTGTACTCTTGTTTGGTTTTTCTACTCAAGACTGAAACTCTACCAACTGAGTCACACCTCCACTTCTGGCCTTTTGCTGGTTAACTGGAGGTAAGAGTCTTGTAGACTTTTCTGCCCAGGCTGACTTTGAATCTTGATCCTCAGATTTCAGACTCCAGAGTAGTTAGGATTACACTGATAGAACGCTTCATTGTGGCACTATTTACTGTGTTAATTTCCCAACCATTATAAACATTTGAGAATAAGCAAAAATGAGTCTAAGGAGTTTCCACCTTGCAAGAAGAGGGCACAAAATAATCTAAATATTTTAGTTTATTGAAGCTTCTTTTACTGATTATATACTGGATTTTTTTTCTAAGGAGCATAATTATGCATTTCAGTTTGTGACCTTAAAGTAATTCTTTATATGCTGCAGTGGGAGTTTCTCTGCTGCACTGGACCTTCGCAGGACCCCCAAGTGTCAGGAAGCCCCAAACCTTCCTGGGCTTGCACTCAGAGGCCTTGACTCCGCAAGGCCTGGACAGTCCACGAGGCAATGTCCAACAGGTCCCTCTAGGAGTGTTTTAAAATGCACTCTAAATTGGAGAACTATAGATGAAGAAGTCAGATTAATGAGAAGTTACGCTGTGTGTTTTTTTTAGGTTTCTAATAACTAGAAAACTGGAACTAGAAATGTTCTTTTTTTTTTGGCACCTGCTAAGGATATAATACTGCGCCCTCTGTTGGTTCATTACAATAAATGCACATATTTTACCTTTTCTTTTTTGCCATTCCTCTCCCTCTCTCCCTCCCTCCCTCCCTTCCTCCCTTCCTTCCTTCCTTTCTCTCTTTTTCTTTTGCAATTTTATTGCCAGCTATTCAAGCTTAAAAATCAGACAGCTGACAGTTTTCAGTACTAACGCCTTTCAGGTTTAAACATGGTTAAATGTATCATGCAAGCCATTTACTCAGGCTTTCACCCTACCAGTAATTATTGGGGAAACAAAACAATCTAGGAAGACCAAATCTTAACATAGCTCCCACTCATTCTCTCAGTGATCGATGGTACACCTACCTAGGATCATTATCTATGATGATGATTATTATGATGGAAAATAACTTTGCCCTCTTTCAGGACCAATTTTTCAGAGTTTTATCTTCTTATATGGGCAGCATGGTATAGCCCATCAGATCACAGGAATTTTGAGGACACTCAGCCTCGTGAATGAAATTCACGAGGACACATGGCTCCCATTCTGTAGGTTGTATTTGAACTCTGCTGATTATTTAGTATGCTATGAAGAAACATTGTAATCGGATATGATTCCACTTTTCTTTCTTTTCTTTTTTCCTTTTGCTTTTGTTACCTGTGCTTTAGGGGTGATATGCAAAAAAAAACTTTGTCCAGAGTAATATTTCATTTTCTCTGTTTTCCTCTAGTAGTTTCTTAGTTTCAAGGATGACATTTAAGTCATTGATCCATATTGGGTTCACTTTTCTCATTTGGTGAGACACAGGAGTCTAGTTTCCTTCTTCTGTGTGTGGGATTTCCCTGCATCTTTTATTTAAAGAGGTTTTTTTCTCCAGCATATAGTCTTGGTGCCACTATTAAAATTAGATGGCTATAAATGTACAGATTTATTTCTAGGTTCTCTCTGTTGCTTCATTGATCTGTATGTTTTTATGCCAAGACCGGATTGTCTGTGTTACTGTTAGACTTGTCAAGTGTTGTGATGTCTTCATCTTGGTTTGTTTTGTTCATTGTTGCTTTGGCTGTTCAGAGTCTATTATGTTCTGTACAAGTTTTAGGATCTTGTTTTCTCTGAAGACCATTGCTGTATTTTAGTAGGATGACGTTGAATCTGTGGATTGCTTTGCAAGAAAGATAATAGTATTCATTCTTTCAGTTCACGAGTGTGTGAAGCCCTTCATTTTGCATGTGTTTTCTTATTTCTTTCACCCATGTTTTATTGTTCTCAGCATAGAGTTCTTTGTATATTGACTTTATTTCCTGCAACTGTACTGAATTCATTCTAATAAGGTGTGTGTGTGTGTGTGTGTGTGTTTATGGAATCTTTAGTTTTAACATCCAATTCTTTGTAAAGAGGGATAGTTCAACTTCTTCCTTCCCTTTTGTTTCTCTCTCTTGCCTAACTGGTCTGGTAGAAGTGCATAAGTCTGTTCTTTATAGGCCTCCCTTAAGTGTTTTTCATAAGGTCTATCTGTGGTGATAAATTCCCTTCGTTCCTGCCTGTCTGAGAAAGGTTTTGTTGTTGTTTTCATTTTGGAAGGATAGTTTTGCTGGGTATAGAATGCTTGAGTAGCATTTTTTTCTTTTGATACTTTGACTTTACCAACCTATTTTCTCCTGGCCTGCAAGGGAGTTCCTTAGTGTGTGACTTGGCATTCTTAAATTCTGCTTTTAGAGCTGTTTGTCTTTAACTTTTGTCAGCTTGGTCTAAACAATGCCTTTCAGAAAACCTCTTTGGGTTTTACGCTGCTGGATGTCCATCTCTTCTAAGTCTGGGGAGCTTTACGGCTACTATTATCTTGTTAATTTATATTTGCAATTAGTTTCTTTAAGTCGCCCCTGAAGGGAGGAACTTGAGAGCCCATCTTGGATTGCAGTGGGCAGAGTCAGTGGCCATGGCTATGTAAAGTCCTGGTGGCCACGGTGCTCACCAGAACTGGTTGATGGGCATGCACAGAGAGGGAGGCTCACTCCTCTCCCAGGTGAAGGCCTGGTCCTTGGGGGCTTCCCCTGGGGTCCCAGCCACCTACAGCCCTCTCTGGCTGCTCCATGATGGGAGCCCTGCAGCCTTTCTCGGCTCCCAGCTCCCAAAGAGGACCAGAGACGCACTGCACCCCTTCCACAGAGCTCCTGGAGAGATGCCCCTGGGGTGGCCACACGGTGCTTCCCTGCCTGCAGCCAGGGCTGCCTGGCGTGGGAAGGCCAGGGCATGAGGAATACAGGTTATAAATCTGTCCTTGTTCATTTTTTCCCTCCTGGAATAGGAACTGTGTATTCTAAGAGGAGCAAGCACTCTGTTGTCTTTCAGCTCAAGCTCTGGGCTCAGCCTCAGGGCTGAGTTAGCACAGAACATCTTCCAGGGCTAAAATAGACTGAAAATGCACTCCGAGCTGAGCACCAGTGTCTCATGCCTCTAATCCTAGTGACTTAGGAGGCAGAGGTAGACGCTCAGGTCAGAACCAGGCATGGAACACAAATCCAAGACTCATCTCCCTGCAAGTAGCCAGCAAAAATGCCAGAAGCAGAGGCGTGGCTCAAGTGGTAGAGTGCCAGTCTGGAGCGAGAAAGCTGAGCAAGAGTGTAAGGCCCTGAGCTCAAGCACTAGTGCCAAGGAAGAAAAAAAAAGAGAGAAAGGGAGGAAAGGATGAAGGGGAAGAGAGAGGTAAGGGAGTGAGAAGGGGGCCACAGTTCTGGCACCAAAGATAATTAAAATGGAATAGAAAAGAATAACAAAAACTAAAGACCTTCTTACCTATGCCTCTCTTATAACTGGTATTGCAGGCATAGAGCTACTGTGCGGATCTGTGCCTGTGTCTTTAGATGGAAAAATGATGTGAAGCTGTCCAGTGATTTGGATTGGGTTTGAACAAAAGCCCAGCTGTTGATTGCTCTCTCCCTTCAGTGGTGTGAGTGGCAACTTCTTCCACCTCCAGCTTTGAGCAGAGCTTGTGTCTGTCTTACCCTTATCTCTGTGGAAGAGCCTGTGTATATTACAGTCACTTAATGTGAACAAATGAAGTGGCACATGAGCTAAGCCATAGAGAATTCAGCCTTGGTGGAATGACTTAAATGAGGCTGTGCTTACTGTTGTTGGTTGCTAGCCAGGCGCTGGTGGCTCACGCCTGTAATCCCAGCTCCTCAGGAGGCTGAGATCTGAGGATTGCAGTTCAAAGCTAGTCTACATAGAAAACGGAAAGAGACTCGGTATCGCCAGACTGGAGATGTGGCTCAAGTGGTAGAGCACCACTCATGAATGCAAAAGCCAGGAGAGTATGAGGCCCTGAGTTCAGGTCGTGGCACATATACAAAAATAGTATTAATTACTATCAGTGTAGTTTTAGCCAAGCCCTCTTCTGGGTAGGGAGGACACTGTGACACATAGATGTGGCCCACAACCTCAGAGGTGTCACGTCCAGGGAGGGGAGCAGAAGGGTGACTGCAGTCCAGTCGGTGTGAGTGTGTTCAGTCACCACATGGTTCTGCGGTGAGGACGGGCACCGTGTCCCTGCGACCAGCCCCTGAGGGCACTGGGGAAGGGGAGTGGATGGAGGAAAGTCTGGGTAGGGAGAAGGGGGAGGTGGCAGAGGGCGCCTGCGAGGCTCACGACCAGGCCCAGGATGGTGTGCAGAAGGTGTCCCTGGATGGGAAGGTTGGGGTTCATTGCAGAGGGGCTCTGTTGTAGCTTGCTGGGGTAAGCAACACATGGCAAGAACCTTTGCTAGTTCATCGCTTCAAACAGCAGAGATTCACGGGCTCACAGAGCTCAGCGTGTCCACAGGAGCAGTCTTGCCGGTTATTGTCAGCAAAACTCAGCCCTGGGGACCACCATGCCCCACTTCCTGTCTTCATGTCTTTTTGGTGCTAGGAACTAGGATATGAACTTGGGGCCTTGTGCTCTTGCTTGGCTTTTCTGCTCAAGGCCAGCACAAGAACCCCACCTCCATGTCCAGCTTTGGGGTGGTTAGCTGGAGCTAAGGTGGGCTTTCCTGCCTGGGCTGGCTTTGAACCACGATCCTTGGATCTCAGCTTCACAAGTAGCTAAGATTACAGGCAAGTGCACTAGCACCCAGCTTCCTTTCCTATCTTGTGACCTAAGAATGAATATTTTGTGTTTGTGTTTGCATTTTAAATGGTTGTGAACGATTTATATCTGAGACATATCCGATATGTTAAATGGCAGAGTCTTCAGAGTCTGATCAGAACCCAGCCAGGCCGCTCCTTGACCTTGGAGGAGTGGGGCCATTTTCTGTTTGGCCTTTTTCAGAAAGAACCGCTCCCAGCCTGCCAAGCCAGAAGGGGGCAGCAAAGAGCCACACAACAGCAAGGTCACCTGTAGGGGTCAAAGCCAGGGAGGAAGGAAGGAGGATGGGGGAGGGGGAGGCACCAGGTGGCGTTTTCTAGTGGAGGGTCTGAGATGGGGGCCTGAAGTAGGAATTCGGGAGAGGGAGAGGGGATGGAGGAGGAGGAGAGGTGGGGAAGACATTAATTATGGAGCAGAGGCCAGGTAACACCCAGGTGAGTGAGATAATACGAAGCAATTTGGTGTCGCTGGGGTGGAAAGGGCAAAGGCCACCAGGGCGTGGAGAGCGCGGGCAGGACCTGTGGACGCCACGCCGCCACGTGGGGCCGGGGCTCCAGCAGAAGAGGGCAGTGGGGAGCCCCGAAGGGCGAAGGGCGGGGCCGCGGCAGGGTCGGCTTTCCATGGCTGTGTCTCAGGGGACACTGCTGTGGCAGTCCAGGACAAAAATGACAACAAGGCCCCGTGAGGTCCCGTGGAGCCAGACCCCAGGGCTCGCCCCCAGAATTCACTGTCTTTCCTTTGTCTTGACCCAGGACTGGGGTGCACTGGGACTCTTGACTTTTTGTAACGCTGTCTTCTTGCCTCTCAGCTTGTTCTACTAGTTTAGCTCCTAGCTTTGGGTGAGGCCTTTTTTCTGCCTTAGAGAAGTATTCGTGTGTGTGTGTGTGTGTGTGTGTGTGTGTGTGTGTGTGTGTGTGTGTGTAGGGAGGGGGTGAGGCTTCAGAATCAAGGAGACCCCTTGTGAAGCCCTGAAAATGCATCTTCAGGCAGGTAGACTCACAGGGTCAGACAGGGTTTCCAGGCTTCCTGTCCGGAGGCCAGCGCGGGGAAGGGCTGAGCACCAGGGCTGCCCTGGGCAGTGGGCTTTGGGGCCTGATCTCAGGGGCTTCCTGCTAGGTGTGCACCCCTCCCCCATAGCCTGCTCATTGTCATACCCTCCAATGTCCTTTGGAAATGATGCTAATACCAGATCTTTCTGTGGAATGAAGCAAAACCTAGGCAGATGAAGCAAGAGCAAGCCTACCCATCGCGTGTTGGCTTAGTAAGTCAGGCTGTGTCCAGGGCAGGGTCTGGGCTTCTGGAAGCTTCTTTGAGCAGGAGCCCTGGCCTCTGCTGTGTGCAGGCTAGGAAAACCCTGTGGGTTCAAGAACTGAGGACAAGCAGGGTTTTATTTCCAAGGTCTTAAAACTACTGCAAACAAACCTCTATCCTTGAAACTAAAAGGGTCATGTGTCAGGTGCTGTCTGATTTAGGAAATGATTAGCCACGTCAAGTAGAAATAAGCTGATTACGTTTTTAAAGAGATTGTTTTAATCTTCATCACAAGGAGCATTTAGAAGAACATATTCATGCAAATTATGAAATGTTTCCAAAGGATGAATCAAAGCCTGGAGACTTGTTCAAATTACTCAGGTTTAATCTCACATCAACTTTTAATGATTAAAAATAAAGCCTAATAGTAATTTCTAATCCTTGTCATCTCTGTGTGTGTATTGTATTGCATTAACGACAGGGTTAGTGGCATTTGTCCATAATTTATCATTTAAGCGTACAAACCAGTGATTTTCAGGAAATTGAGAGCCCAACATCTTAAGTTTTGAGTATTTCTATCATCCTGAAATATCTCTATTTTAGTCACAAGAAGTGATATGGGAACATGATTTTAGCTGACTGCTTCATGTATTTGAATCACCTCAGATTCGATCTCACTGGGAAGTGAACTTTATCCATCTGTCCTCCAGGTACACGGGAGACAGTCGGGGCAAAGCTCCTGCGATCTTATCAGAGGCTGAGGTGAGTGTTAGCAAGGACGGGGCGTCCGGCTCTCCGAGCCCAGAGGACGCCCTGAAAGAACTCACGAATCTGTGGTTCACAGAGCTCAGCGCTTTGGAATGTAACTTTTCTTTTTTCTTTTCTTTTTTTTTCTTTTTTTTTTAAAAGGGCTAAATCACCTGGAAGAGATTCAAACAGAGATGGTCACAGAGTCTCATGAGAAACTTTCTACTTACCAGTATTTTTCTCCCTCCATGTTCTATTTTGTTTCTCAAATTTCCCTGAAATGTTCTAAGGAAATGAAATTTTCTTTGTGTCAGTCTTAGGGTTTGAACTCAGGGTGTGGGTGCTGTCCCTTTCATTCAAGCTTTTCATTCAAGGCTGGAGCTCTACTACTAGAGCCACAGTTCCACTTCTGGCTTTTTTTGGTGATTAAGACTCTTACAAACTGTTCTGCCCAGGCTGACTTTGAACCTTGATCCTCAGATCTCAGCCCCCTGAGTAGCTGGGATGAAGGTGTAGGCCACTGGCACCAGGAGAGACATTATCTTTGTATGCAATTCTATGGCATTCTAAATCAATCATTTATTAATTATTAATATCTCTGACACCTTACGCAGTGTCTAATACCTTAGGTATTTGTAGGGTCTACATTTCTGGTATCGAATATTGGTCTGAGAGATGTGAACATCTCTCTGCCCAAAATGCTGAAGCCCACCAGCCCTGACGCTGGCAATAATTCACATATCTGATTACTATGGGTTTATAAAAGTATCATCAATAACGTCTTCCAGGTACTACTTGTAAGGTCCGCTCCTGGATGGCAAGCAGACTCCACCCTCCTCGCAGCAAAGTCTCCACCCATTACCTGCGTTACCTAGGCAACTGGGACACCTGGAAGAGGTCACATCTGCATCCGCTGAGGTCACATCTGAATTCGATGTGGCCACACCTTTCCCCGCCCATACCCTACATAAGGCCTAGCCCAGGCCCAGACACACTCTCTTGCTCTTGCTCTTGCTCTTCTTTTCTGCTCGCTTGCTCTTGCTCTTGCTGCTCTTTTCTTGCTCTCTCTGTTCTTTTCTTGCTCTCTTTCCCAGCCACGTGGAGTGCAAACCTTGCCTGGTCCCAGCAGGTCTACCCCTTACCTGAATACCACGTGAGTGCTACTGTTCTTACCCCTCTCTCTGCTCTTTTCTGGCTCTTTTCTCTCTCTTTCCTCTCTTCCCAGCTCTCTCTCATTCCCAGGCCTTTCCCAGCCACGTGGAGTGCCAACCTTGCCTGGTCCCAGCAGGTCTACTGAATAAACCTACCCCTTACCTGAATACCACGTGCGTGCTGGTGCTGTTCTTACTCGGTTACCTCTTTTTAAAAACCTAACACTACTCTTTCAGCATGTGATGAAATATAACAATGATACAGCTGTGTATTTGTAAACTAGTATCTTTCCTAATTCCCATTTCTTACCCCTATGTTTCTCTTTGGCAGCAAAATTTCTGTGGTTCCTCCAACTCCACCACCTCTCAGTGAGAACCAGTGCTGTGGCAACCCTGGCAGGGTAACATGTCTGTTTGTGCATCTCTGGGTGGGAAGCCAGGGAGGGAAGGGAGGAAGGATGTTGCAGAGTTGGGCGAACAGCCTTGGAGCCCAGGAATCTAACTTTTACTCCCCGGGAGGCAGAGAGCAAAGGCGCAGTTGGAGACTGGGAAGCACTTCCACTCTTGGGCTGTGGCAATGTACTGCGAGCATTGTCAGCTGGCCATCTTCTGCCCTCTTCCCCTCACTCCTGTCACCAGCTCTGGGTCTCAGCTCTTCATGTGCCTTGAATGTCTGGATTGGCAGACAGGTATGCAGAACCTTACAGGTTGCATACAGGTGTGTGAGTGTGGGTACTCTTGGGAATGATCATGTGTCTTCTGTGTGTTTTTGAGTCCTTGTATAACGTAGAACATCACCATTACTGACCAAAGAAATTAGCTGTGCAGTCTTGGAAGAGCCACCTGTTTTTCCAACCTGAATGGTGGAAAGAGTTCATGTTGTCTGCCTTGTCTCTTGAGACTATTGTGACAAGTCAAACAACAATTTCCTCATGGGTACTTGGAAACTGTAAAGTGCCAGGTGTTAAATTTCCAGCTGAGGCTCAGGGGTGACCTAGTTGCTCTAGTTTCTCCTTGATATTTTAAAATCTCTAAAGCTGGTGGTGTGTTTGAGACATATTTATTGAGTAGCTAGATGGACAGTGGCAGACGAGGGATAGATGGATGGTTGGATGGATATTGGATGGATTGACAGTGTAGGGGAGAATGGATAGGTGGATGGTCAAAGTAACTATGGGTGGATAGATAGACAATGGATGGGTAATGGATAAATGGATAGAAAATGTGTGGATGGGTAGTTGATTGGTTATCATCTATGAGTAATTGGACAGCAGATGGATAGATGGTGAATGATGGGCAGATGGTTGATAATGGGTAGATGGTGAATCATGGATGGTAGATAGATACTGGGTAAGTGGACTGGCCGTGGGTGGGTGGATAGTTGGGTGGTCAGCATGTGGTTGGATGGATGGACAGTAGATGTGCAGATGGCTGGAGTGTTGGATGCATGGTCAAATGAGACTTGGAGAAAGAAGTGATCTCCTTTCTGTTGTTTCTTTTCCTGCTATGGGAGGTGGAATTTCCTATCTCCACCCTGGTCATCTTGTGCTTTATCCCACCCTCTGCCCCATGTCATCTGCCTTCTGCCCATGTTGACACCCTTGTCTGTGGAGTCAGGATGGGTTAAACAAGTAATTTACCTGTTAAACAAGTAAAAAGGTTAAACAAGTAATTTATGGGAGTATAACCTTTCACATCTAAGAGGCGGTTGTTATCTGTGAACAGCTCATTGATAGTGCTCCCCCTTTAATGAAGATGCCCAAATGCAGAGAGGAAGGAAGAGGATGCCCCCCTCTTGGGGGGCTGTGCTGTCTCCACCTGTAGAGACGCTTGTATTCGTTCATGCTCACACAGCCTGAGCACCTCACCCGCAGGGGCAGCCTGGGGACTAAGGGACAAATGCAGGTGGTTTAACTTGTTCTCTTTCCTGTTTCTGTTTCAGTTACATGAACTTGGTCAGTTTAGAGGATTTAATAAGTCGGTGGAAAATTTGTTTCTGTCTGTTACCACCCACATGAAAAGTAAGTGGTATTCTTCCCAGCGGTGCGGGCAGCCAGGGAGCCTCGGGCCAGACTCTCCCTGGAGACCCAGGGAAGCACAGCAGCCAGGCTGCCCTCTCTGCAGCCTCTGGGTCATTGTGGGGGGAGAGGATGTCGGTTCAGCCCTGCAGCTGGCTGGATTCCTCCTCCTCTTGCCTGTACCTGCCCAGCTCAGCAGCACAAACAAAGGAGCTTGGCAGATTTAGACTCGAGAGGCCCAACAACAAAACATAAAGACACACTGCAGTGCATCCGAAATCAGAACATTTCGAGCTCCGTGGAGCCTAATATCTGTTGGGCTCCGGTCCATTCTCTTCTCCTCCCTGGTACAATGTCTTTCCTTCTGTTTGTAGGACATCTGCTCATCCAAATAATCACAGCGCTCACTGCAGTGTCTTTTCTGCTCAGAGATGTGTTTTCCCTCATCCTTCTATTAATATGCAAATCCCAGAGGACAGATTTCTCTCATGCTGCCTAAGATATCAGGCTAGCATTTAGACAATGTCCTTAAACAGTAGCTTAGTTTATTGCATCTTAGATTTTATAGAATGAAAAGCTTAGCATGCATCATCACTATTCTCTTTGTCTCTGTTCTGTCTCTGACTCTCTCCTTCCAGGGTCTTATTTTGTAGCCAAGGCCAACCTCTAATTTGAGGTCCTCCTGCCTCAGCCTTCCAAATGTGAAGATTGTAGGCCTGTGCCAGCGTAGCGGGTGCATGCTAGAGTTTCTGTAGTCATTTGTGAAATTTTGTTCTAAATGGCAAAAGATAATTTAAACTGCAGAGATTTTGTTAGCTAAAAAAGCATATCTATTAGATAGAAGACTGCTGTAGTTTAAGCAATTAGTCTTATTCTAAAAATAATGTTACTTGTATCATCTCTACCAAAGCCTAAACAAAATAGTGTTTTAATTTAGTGATATTCTTAATTATCTGAACTTTAGGCATTAATTTTGTGTAATTTTTTTCTGCATATACATATAATTTTTTCTAGGGAGATCTATTTTAAGATGGATCAGTAACATTTATGTAATTATCATATCAATAAAAGCCCTACGGGGAAATATAAACATACATATATACATATATGCTATATATACATATGTGACATATAAATAATAAAAAGCAGCCAGGGATCCTGGGCACCCATTTCTCCTCTCCGAGCTTCTGTTTCTCACCCTTTTCCCTGCAGGTGTCTGTGGATAGTCTCATTGCTGTATTGGCTCTGAGACAATCTCAAGGTTTGATTTTAATTAGTCATCTTTATTCTATTCAAGCCCTGTCACAAGAGGGCAATTGAAATCCAAGCCCCACTCTTCTGCTAAGCAGCAGCAGTGAGGCCTGTCCGTTCTCTCCGCAGGGGGTGTGGCTTGGGCCTGTCTGTCACAGTGTCCTCCATCAGCCCGGCCCTCCCTGTGGTGCCTGTCGGGGTCATGGCTGATGTCAGGGTCATGTAGCGCAGCTGGCTCTTTCCCACCACAGCCTGCCTTCCAGTCCGGGTTTCTCTGCATCTTCCTAGATGCTCAGCCCGCCTCCAATCCAAGTCACTGTGTGACTTTCCCACTTGCACGAATACTGTGGAGCCAGTGCCTTGGAGTCATCCCACCCTGAGATCCCTCAGCCCCAGAGATCAGTCAGAAAGGCAGGGGACACTGGGGTCACACTGCGCACTGCCTTCCTGGGCCCGTGGCCCTGAACACACACAGGGGTGCACGAAGGTGCACTTAAGGGATAGCCTGCAGCCTCTTCTGCACATCTGCCCAGTACCTGTGTGGACAGCTAGCGCTCAGCCGTGGGTGGAACGTGGCTGGAGATCTCCAGAAGCAAAGCGGTGTGTCCCTCAGGCAAGGGAAGTCAAGTGAAGCCTGGGAGCTGTGCTCCGGAGGCAGGGGCGGCATGTGCCGCCCGGGAGGGGCACGAGGCTCTGCACCAGTGCTAGTTTCAGTTTCCTCAGGTTTTGAGTAAGTCTTCCATTTTCTTGCGTGATTCCCCATAGGAGTGGGAACAGGGGAAGCTGGGGTGGAGAGGGCTGGCGGAGAGGGTCCTAGGCGGTTCCAGGACCCGTGATCCTCATGCTGGAAGGTCTTAGTCTCCCAGGATTGAGAGAGCTGACCAAGAATGGCCGCGGCTGGCTGCAGATGGTGCCCAGGGCAGTGAGGAAGAAGACAGGCGATTGCAGCCCCACACTTGTAGGAGAGGCAGCAGAGACGGCTTCAGCAGAGAAGAGGACATTGTTGTTTTGTGTGTTGTGTTTGTGTGCTCGTCCTGTTGCTGGTGCAGGGCCTGGGTGCTGTCCCTGAGCTTTTTCACTCGAGGCTGGCATTCTGCCACTTGAGCCACAACTCTACTTCTGGCTTTTTGGCTGTTAATCGGACATAAGAATCTCATGGACTTTCCTGCCCAGGCTGGCTTTGAACCACAATCCTCAGATCTCAGCCTCCTGAGTGTCTAGGATGGCCACTGTGAGCCACCCATGCCCAGTGACATTGCTTCTTAACGAGCCAACTTACTTCCTGTTCCTTTCTTTCTCTCTCCCTAATTGTACCCAGACACACGTCTGCATGTCAGAACCAGAATTACTTAGGAAAGTTCTCCCTGGTCCTTTAGCTATGAACTTGAATAGGGGCCAGATGGGCACAGGCCTTGGAGTAGGCCCTGAGTAGATGTGTCAGGGACGCTGTCTCCCCAGAGTCAGAAACGAGAGCCCATCACAGCCCGTCTAGGCCTGGCGGAGGCTGAAGACAGATGTGAGTCCTTTCTAGCTGCTGTCAGAGAAAGATTCTGGAGAGGTTTCTGGATGACGTCCGTGAGGGGCAGGGCCGTGTGACTGTGGGGGGAAGCTCGTCAGGGATTCGTAGGAGGAGGCGCACAGCCCCTCTGCGAGGCTGGGCAGGCCAGAGAGCTCACAATCGCACAGAGGTTCGTGTGGCGGCGTCTCAGCCAGACACAGGGCTGGCCTGGAGCCTCCGTCCCTCACAGAAGCCTCTCAGCACGCGGGCCTTTGGGACCCCTGAGGTCTCGCAGCCAGATGTGGTGCTTTAGCTGGGCTCTGGTGGCTCACACTCATAATCCTATCAGGAGGATGAGATATGAGGATCAGGGTTCAAAGCCAACCTGAACAGGAAAATCCTTTTATTTCCCATTAAACCCACAAAAAGCTGGAAGTAGAGATGTGGCTCAAAGGGTAGATCTCTAACCTGAAGTTTAAAAAGTTGATTAAAAGCACGAGGCCCTGTGTGGTTGTCTTCTCCTTGTTCCTGAGCCTACGCCACCTGGTCCTGCCAGCCATGGGGCCCGCGGGTGACGGGGAGTTCAGAAGAGGGCCCCCTTGGTCTCAGCCATGCTCAGCTCCCAGCTATCACCCCCTTATTTGCCTTCTAGAACTCTCCAAGTCCCAGAACGATGTGACTTCTGAGAAGCACCTTCTAGCCACGTGCCCCAGGCCGGATGTGAGCCAGACAGAGAGACGAAGCCAGTCAGACACGGCCGTCAACATCACCTCCAGGGTACCCCAAGTCCTCTGTGCCTCGGCCCTGACCACCTTTGTGTCTTTCCAGAACCTTCCAGACTGTTTCCTCTGTAGACGTCCTTTTCCTTTCGTAGAAACACCTTAACAGTCACTTATTCTGAGGCCCATGGAAAAGAGGGTGAGAATTCAAAGTGGCCAGGCTAGAGAGGTGTCATGGTTACTCTGGTCAGCTGCCAGGACCTCTGCAGCCCCCAGCAGCCGTGGGCTCCACTCAAGAGGACCAGACTGTCCTTTAGGCGAGGTGTGAGCGAGCCCAAGCCTTGCTGCACCTGTGCACACGCTCTGCAGTCAGTAGCAAGTCCCATCTCCGCCCTCTGCCCGCCTCCTGAGCCAGGCCCGGCCGGACACAGCACCAGGCTCCCGAAAGAACCCGATGAGATGAGTCGGTGCAGCCGAGGAGCTGAGTTTCATTTTATTTCAATTAATGTAAATTTGAGTTCAAATCATCCCACACGGCCGGTAGTTGGAAAGCCCAGGGGTACACACAACAGCAGCGCCGACTCTTAGCCAAGTACTGTTATACAATTTAGAGGCAAATTTTGAATTTCCTCCTGTGTTTATGAGCATTTTAGAGCTGAGAGGAAATGGGCATTATCATGGTGAAGGCTAACATATGATCATTAAGACTTTTGTGAATAGATAATCTAACCCATCATGTTCTTGAATATAAGTTTGGTTGAGGTCTGCCTCCGAGCCCTGGGGGTGTGGGTTCACATCTCCCTTTCTACATGTCAGGGCCTGCTGGAGTCGCCTTTTTTTTTTTGCCGGTTGTAGGGCTTGAACTCTGGGCGCTGTCCCTCAGCTCTTCAGCTCAAGGCGAGCGCTCTACCACTTGAGCCACTTCCAGTTTTCTGGTGGTTTATTGGAGATAAGAGTCTCACAGACTTTCCTGCCCAGGCTGGCTTTGAACTGTTATCCACAGCTCTCAGCCTCCTGAGTAGCTAGGATGACAGGCGTGAGCCACCAGCGCCCGGCTAGAGTTGCCATATTGGAGCGAAGTCAGATGGGGAAGTGGACTGTAATAGAAATTCTGCTCTTTCCTCTGCAGAAGGCCAGTGCACCAGCTATTCTGAAACCTTTCCATCAAGAAGATCTGAAACACTCGACCAGCCCTGTTTTGAAGCAGGAGACTCCTCCCTCGAGTCCAACGCCCAACACTTTATTTTCTGGAGGCTTGAGACACGTGAGTCTTGTCCTAATAGTCCTGACATGGGTCGTGTGGCTGTGAGGATATCAGATGGGCTGGGGGTACAGCTCAGCGTTGGGGCATCAGCCTCGAATCCAGAGCCCTGCGTCTCACTCCCAGCATTCAGAGCAAAACTAGCCAAACCAGAAACATAAAACTTGGTTGAGAGGCAAGGACAGGGATAGACAGTTGCCTTGTGAGAGAAATTAGGAAACGACAGTAGAACTTAGACGTGGTATTTCTGGAGAAAGCCTCACTGTACTTCAAGGCTGGATTTGACACACTTTATTGTGAACAGTTTTTCATGGCTCTGTGTGTTCTTCTCAAGATAGATCTATCCATCCATCTATCTATCTATCTATCTATCTATCTATCTATCTATCTATCTATCTATCTATCTATCTATCTATCTATCTATCTATCTATCGTTGGTTGTGGGGCTTAAACTCAGGGCTGTCCCTGAACCTCTTTGTGGTTAAAGCTAGCACTCTACCACTTGAGCCACAGCACCACTTCTGGTTTTTAAGTGGTTAATTGGAGATAAGAGTCTCACGGGGACTTTTCTGCCTGGGCTGGCTTCGAACTGGGAATCTCAGATCTCAGCCTCCTGAGTAGCTGGGACTACAGGCATGAGCCATTGGTGCCTGGCTTATTGTTATTTTTTTAAAATTCCTTTAAATAGTCGTATCAAGGAGTTTTAATTCAACACACAAGTTTGTAAGTACAATGCATCTTGCTCCATGTTAGTACTCCATCATTCTTCCCTATTTTTCCCAGCCCTAACCATACCTTCAAGTCACATGGCTTTATTTTCACCTATGTACATTGAATATAATGACTGCATTTTCCCACCTTTCCTCTCTCCATTTGTCACCATGATTATTTGGAAGGATAGCTGTGGTTCCAGTTAGCTCCCAGTTTTCTGCTTTTGTGACATGGGAGGCATGGGGCTTTGCATGTGTTTAAAGGAAATGACCTTGCAACCTTCAGCTCACGGTCAAGCAGAACCCAACCTGCCCGGGGGCTGCTTTTGCCTGGGTTTGACTTTCCTTCAAACCCAGAGAGCCCCTGGCTCACAGAAGGCAGCCAGGCTGAGTTCAGGGCTGTTCTTCCAGGCCGGACTCTGGGTCGGCTCTGTATTTTCAGTGTGCTCCAAGATCCTGTGCTGGCTCTGGGCAGAGGGAACTGGAACTGCTGCAGGGTCCTGCTGCAAGAATTAGGAGTTACCTCAGGAGGAAGGCAGTTGACAGGAGTGAGCCCTGCTCTCCTCCTGTCCTCTGAGGGCAGAGCCCTTCCTCTCCCACTGCCCGGAACCACTGACTTAGCAGAGCCCAAAGGCACGGCCGGAAGAGTCGGAGCAGCTTCCAGCTCAGCCGCTGACTGGTGATGCCACTGGGTGTGTTTCGGGTTGGCCTGCCCTCTGTTTGTCGCCCCAGCGCTTCCTGGAAGCTCTGGGATTCTGGGAGTCAACCCAGATGAGCCCCGCTGTGTACCTGCACCCCTCTCCCCAACCACTGTGCTCCCAGGAGCCAGGCGCACAGCCTGATCCTCAGCCCTGCCATCCCCATGCTGGGGCTCAGGTCTGTCCTTCTCCTTCACCAGTCCACAGCTTCTCCAGCCTTTGCAAACGCCCCTCGTCCACAAGGAACTCTCCTTTCTTACTGCAGCCAGCAAAGGGAGCAGGAGAGAAAGGGAAAATGGCAGGTTGGAATTCCTTATCCTCCTAATTCCAAAATCGACCTTGATGCTGTCTAAGAGTGTGGGGCCCTTTTGTCCCTCCACATGTAGAATTCCCAGGCAGGGCAAGTGGGAGCAGAGGCAAAGCTTCTTTGAACGTGGAAGGAGACAGGGGAAGTGAGGGAAGAAAGCCTCTCAGCTCCCAACCAGCTCTCCAAGAGGGGAGGGCGCCTCATGCCATGCCTCCGCCATCTGAGGGCTTGTCCACGTGCTTGGGGGAGGGGAAGAGAAGGGGGAGAAGGAGGGGGAAGAGGAGGAGGAAGAAAGGAGGAGGGGAAAGAGAAGAGGAGAAGAAAGAAGAAGAGGGGGAGGAAGAGGAGGAAAAGGAGGAAGAGAATCAGCAGACTCTTCAGTGTAAGAGAGTGAGAAGCGGGGCCCACTTATAGTGCTTACTGGAGGGGTCCCCCACCTTGGGGGGGTCTCAGGTTCTGGCATCTGGTTGGGTCACTGCCCACCTCACCACATGGGGAGGGTCTCCTGCGCCTGTGTGGGTCTGCTCTAGGGTCCTGGGGCTCATCCCACTTCCCCAGGGTGTCGAGGAAGGGGAGGGCGGTGGTCTCCACAGGCTCAGGGTTCCCAGGGTTCCCAGGGGCATCACCTCCACTGGGTCAGCCTCTCCCCATCTGCCTCATCTCCGCCCTTTCTCCTCTCCCTCCACCTTTGTTCCCATCCACTTTCCTTTCCGAGCATTGGATCCTGTCCTCGCTTGCTCTCTTGGTGCCTTATTCTCTTGCCTGTCCTCTCGCTACTCATATATTCAGCCTTTACTCAGCTGAATCCTTCTCACTGGCCTCAAACACGTGAAAGTCTCTCTTGTTATAATTATCTTTAAGTAGCTGTACGAAGGAGTTGACATTTAACAAAGCAGTTTATGAATATAATTATCTTCTCATCCATCCCATTCCACTCCTTCCTCCCTCTTCTTAATTTTGTAGGATATACATTAGATTCTTACTTTTTTTTCTTTGTTGGTTGTAGATCTTGAACTCTGGGCCTGGGCGCTGACCCTCTAAGCTCTTCAGTTCAAGGCAAGTGCTCTACCACTTGAGCCACAGTGCCATTTCCGGTTTTCTGGTGGTTAATTGGAGATAAGAGTCTCATGGAGTTTCCTGCCCAGGCTGGCTTTGAACCGTGATCCTCAGATCTCAGCCTCTTGAGTAGCTAGGATTACAGGCGTGAGCCACTGGTGCCTGGCTACATTGGATTCTTGACTGCATCCCCTGCCCCAGCTCTTCTCTTCATTTGTCCATCTCTTTCCCCTTGATCTCACCTCACCCCCTTTCAAATACCCATTTCCTGGTGTTTTATTTTGCTGACCTTTGATTTTGCCTAAGGAATTCCATTATTTGAGATCTCTTGAATCTACTGTATGTCAGTTAATGTGCTTGTAAATGTTTGCATACCTCTCAACACACTTACTTATAAGTTAATAGGGTAAATCTGGTTCCCACACATAAGAACTCAACACACTTACTTATAAGTTGACAGGGTAGATCCGGCTTCCACACATAAGAACTCAACACACTTACTTATAAGTTGACAGGGTAAATCCAGCTTCCACACAAGGGAGAACACATATTCTTTATCTCTCTGGGCCTACTTTACCTAACATAACTTTTCCAGGTCTTTCCATTTCTTTACAAATGGTACAATATCATTTCTAATGGATGAATAAAATTCCATTGTGTATACATACCACATTTTCTAGATCCATTTATCCACAGAAGGGCATCGAGGCTGATCCCATAGCCTGACTGTGATGAATAGTACTGCAATGAACATGGTTGTACTGGTGGCTTTATTGTATCCTGGTTTCTAATATTTTGGATAACTGTCCAGGAGTGGAATTGCTGGGTCATAGGGTAGTTCCATGTTTATAACACCCTCACTCAACCATCCATTCTTCCCCAGCTACCTTTTTTCCCCTTCCTTCTTTGGCCAAACTTTCCAGAGTCCTTTGTCACTTGTCATACCTTTGTTTTTTCTTCCATTCATATATCATCTCACCCTGCTGATGGGGTCTCACCCCTTCACTCTCCACCAGTGACCTTCACATCACAGAGTCCAGTCATGACTTTTGACCTCCTTTCACCTGACCTTTTCCCAGCATCCAACACTGCTGACCTCTCATCCCTTCAGAATCTACTCTTTTTCTTCCTACTTTCAAGGTTGCCTTTGTTTTTGTCCCTACTTCTCTAGCTGGATCTTTGTCTAGCAAGATCCATCTCGCCCATTAGACTAAACTCCAGGAGATTAGGGACTGGGAGTTTCTGCTTTCCATGTTTCCTCCAACACCTTGCTCAGTGTCTGGTTCCTAGGAAGTCTTCTAGAAATGTTTATGAAATTAATAAATGAGCACTTAAAGTATCTTGACTTAAAATTATGTAGAGATGATGGCATGAAGGATTGAGCTTCCTTGTACCTAGAGGGTCAATGTTATTAAGTCACAAGTCTTGGATGGTTGTCCTAACCCTCTGTAACTTCAGCCAAGTGACTTAACCCACTGAGTTCTAGTTTCCTTATCTGTCAGTGTGGGGAGTAACAAAGTTAGCCTCTCATTTTCAGTTTGTGGAACTCAAGTACCATCATGTACATACATGTTATCATCAATACGAATACTATTAATAATGATAGTAGTGGCCAGGAGCTGGTGGCTAACACCTGTAATCCTCTCTACACAGCAGGCTGAGACCTGAGGATTGTGGTTCAAAGTCAGCTCAGGCAGGAAAGTCCATGAAACTCTTATCAACTATTCAGAAAAAGCCAAAAATGATGCTGTGACTCAAAGTATTAGAGTGCTAGCCTTGAGTGAAAGAAGCTCAGGGACAGGGCTGAGGCCCTGAGGTCAAGCCCCAGGACTGGCGAAATGAACAAACAAGAAAAACAACAAATCGATAGTAGTTACCTCCTTAAAATGCTTCTGGGTCAGGTAGGCAATGTGCTCAGAATTTCATCTACATTATTGTTTTAATCCATGTAACAACCCTGAGACTTGTTTTATGTCCTGTGGCAATTTTTTTTTGTTAGAGAACCGATAAGTCTTCATTTGCTGTGAGGAATATTTTATAATGAGCATGAAGTCAGGTGTGTTGTATTATTTAAAGTCAATTATACCTTTACTAACAAATTTATCTGTTTTACTTATAAGAATAGTATATAAAAATGACTATTTGTCAGTTTTTCCTATATTTATGCTTTGTTCATGCTTTCAAGTGGGTTGACTCCTTTATCATTATGAAATACTTGTATTTTTAAAGTAATTACTGATATATTTTGGGTTAAATCTGTCTTACCTACTTGCTTTCTACTTTTCGTGTTACCTATTTTTTTCCTGATCTGTGGTCTGCCTCCATTCCCTCTTCCAGTGATTGCTTTGGGATTTGTCAGATCTTTCTGGTTTTTGCCACTTCTCTTGAGCAGTAGGTAGTATGTCTTCTTCTGTCAAAGGTAATGTATCTTCCCCCGACTCTGCCATTACTATTTCTCTGCCTTTGATATTTTTTGGGGGGGGTCCGGTTGTGGGGCCTGAACTCTGGGCCTGGGCGCTGTCCCTCAGCTCTTCAGCTCAAAGCTAGTGCTCTACCACTTGAGCCACACTTCTAGCTTTTGAACCACTTCCGGCTTTTTTCTTTTTGCTTACATGGTGCTGAGGAATTGAACCCAGGGCCTCATGCATGCAAGACAAGTGCTCTACCACTGAGCCACCTTCCCAGCCCCTGCCTTTGATTTTCTGTAATTTTACTCTGATGGCCTATGTGTCATTCCATGTTATAAAAATGTTTTTCACTCTTCACCTGTGGTTTATTGTCATTGTTAGTTTTTGCAAAATTCTTAGCTCTGATCTCTAAATACATCACTGCCCCATTTTATTCTTTATGATTTTTCAAATGTATATTATACTTTTTCTTTATGTACAGTATATTTTTCACACTTTTCTATTCACCTTGTTTTCCCACTTAGATATTTTCTGTGTATTTTCTTTTCACTCTAGGGTTTTTTTGGGGGGAGGGTGTCAGTCGTGGGGCTTGAACTCTGGGCCTGGACACTGTCCTTTAGCTCTTTAGCTCTTCAGCTCGAGAAGAGTGCTCTACCACTTCAGCCACAGTGCCACTTCTGGTTTTCTGGTGGTTTATTGAAGGTAAGAATCTCACGGACTTTCCTGCCCAGGCTGGCTTTGAATCCTGATCCTCACATCTCAGCTTCCTTAATACCTAGGATTACAGGCATGAGCCACCAGTGCCCAGCTTCACTCTAGGTATTTTCTATTGACTTATCTTCCTGTGTTCAAATCAGCTATGTATGATCCTAAATTAATTTGTAGAGTTCTTCATTTCAGCAACTTCAATATTTATTTATTTATTTGTGGTGGTCCTGAAGCTTGAACTCAGCATTGAGGTGCTGTTCCTAGTTCTCTACCAGTTCTGGTGTGTGTGTGTGTGTGTGTGTGTGCACATGTGTGCGTGCATGTGTGAGCGTGCACTTAGTTGGAATGAAGAGTCTTGTGGACTTGCCTGCCTGGCTCCTTGCACAAATGCCTATGGGAGAAGGTGCTCAGAGCACCAGAAGGACCTCGATTGCTTTTCTTCTCGTTAGCATCTTGGACCCTAGCATTCTGGTTGTCTTGGTAGCTCCACAATGTCGTGGAGCACTTTGGCTGTTTAATTCAACTTTCAACTTATTCTTGGCAGAGAAGTTGGTAGTATACAGTTCAATGTGAAGTCCCAAGATGAGTGCTTTGTGTTGTTTTGCTCT